AGACAATATCTTCCTTACCCCTGACTTCCTCTCCCCCGGATTTTCCCCCGCATTTCCCCCGCATTTTCCCCCGCATTTCCCCCCCTTTTACCCCGCTTCTTTCCCCGACTATTGGCAGTGGCTCATCCGAAATCGATTTTTCCTGCAACGGCGGCGGAGGGGCGTCCGACAAGACGGGAAGCGGCGGAAGCAGCGGCGCATCCAGCCCGCCGAAATCTCCCCCAGCCAGCTCCCCTCCCGCAAACCCTCCGCCTGCGAAATCTCCCCCTTCTAGCCCTCCACCCGCCACTCCTGCTAGCCCGTCCTCCTCTTCTTCCTCTTCCCCTTCCTCTTCTTCCTCCTCTTCGTCCTCATCTTCGGGCTCCAACTCCAATTGGTGGGATGCCTACACCCCTTCATCCTCGTCTTCATCCTCTTCCTCCCCCTCCTCTTCCTCCTCCCCCTCCTCTTCCTCCTCCCCCTCCTCCTCTTCCCCCTCCTCGTCTTCCTCCTCTTCGTCATCCTCCTCCTCCTCTTCCTCTTCCTCTTCACCCTCCGATAGTGCCTCTCACTCCTCCAACGACTCCTCTTCCTCCTCCTCTTCCTCCTCTTCCCCCTCGTCCTCAACCTCCTACGAAGCGTACAAGTCCTCGCCACCCTGGTGGACTGCTTACGCCAACCCCTCACCCCCCTCCTCTTCTTCCTCTGACTCCTCTTCCTCCTCTGACTCCTCTTCTTCCTCCGACTCCTCTTCAACCAAATCTTCGTCGGCGTCAATTGCAAGCACCAAGAGCACCGACAGCACCACCAGTTACGGTGGGAATGGCAAGAGCGGTAGCTCCGGAGGCAGCAGCAGCAGCAGCAGCAGCGACAGCAGCAGCAACAAGAGCGGAAACAATGGCGGCGGCAGTAGCAGTTCCACTCAATCTACGTCTTCCTCTTCTGGCTCTTCCGCTGGTTCTGCCTGCCCCACATCTAGCCTGGCTGGTTACAGCTACTCCGCGGAACTCGGAAGCAAAGAGTAAGCCCTATGTCAGCCGTTTCACCTCTGCTAAAGTGTTTCTATCATCCACCATGTAACGTACACGTGTACCTAGTTGTAACTTACCTGTCTTCGCCAATTTCATCCCCTTCTTTTATTTCGCCAGTTTCCTCCTGCACTGGGCCGCGCCGTCCAACGGGCAGCTCGATTTGGCGATGGAGGCGAAATCTGGTAGCGGCGCGGCGAAGGGCTGGATGTCCGTCGCATGGTCGGCGAACGGAGGGATGGCGGAAAGCACAGCGATTTTCGGTAACATGGAGGGCGGAAGCGTTGCTGGTTACCACATCACCGGTTACTCGATGGACACGGTGAAAGTAAACGGAATGGATATTGGAGGGGACGCGGCGACCAGTAACGAGGGAGGCTCCACTGTAGTAAAGTGAGTAACATTTTAGTTGGTCTTATTAACAGACTCGCTATACGGAAGCCTTATCATTACACAAGCGATACGCACGTCAACCGTCTTCATACACTCTTACCTTCAGATTTTCCAAAACATCCTTTTGCTATTGCTAATAAGCATCACTATTTCCTTGCTTTCTTCATATACTTTTACAGGTTTCAGCGCAGCGAGAGTGACAATGGCGAGGTGAAGCTGTCTCTAAACGGGCCTAACAAACTTATATGGGCGTATTCTACTGGGAGCAAGGCTCTGGGCTACCATGGCGGCAACTTGTGAGTTACTTTGTTCCTCATGTCGCGCCAAAGCATCCCCTTACCGAAAAGCTCACCCTCCCATCTTGAACCCGTTATTGGCTTTTGAGGCGCCTCAAACGGCATCTTACCAAAAAGCTCACCCACATTTGGTTCTCATCTCTCATCGTTCTTTCTCCTCCGTTGCTTTGCTTTTCTTCCATTTTGGTTCCCTCTCCCCCTTCCCCCTCCCTCCCTTGTCCGTCTTCCCATCTCGTCCCCTTTGTTTCTCACCCTTCCCTTCCACTCCGCTCCTTCTCTCCCTTCCCCGCCCTTCCTCCCCTCCCGCCCTCCCCACTTCAACGGTCGAGTCACTGTGGACTTCTCGTGTCATCAATCTCCTGAGCCTCTTATAACCCCCCCCCCCCCACCGTTCCTGCTCCTCCCCTCCCTCCCCTCTCCCCCTCCCCTCCCTCCGTCCCTCACTCCAGCGGTCGGGTCACTGTGGACTTCACCTGTCAATCCGCCCCTGCTGGGGGCTCTGTTGGGGGCGGGGGAGAGAGTGAGGGAGGCGAGGGTGGGGACAGTGAGGGAGGAGAGGGGGGAAATAGCAGCAGTCAGAGCAAGGAGAGTACCAGCAGCAGCAGCGGCAGCAGCAGCCAAGGCGGCGATAGCAGCAGCAGCAGCCAAGGCGGCGATAGCAGCAGCAGCAGCCAAGGCGGCGATAGCAGCAGCAGCAGCCAAGGCGGCGATAGCAGCAGCAGCAGCCAAGGCGGCGGTAGCAGCAGCAGCATCCAAGGCGGCGATAGCAGCAGCAGCAGCCAAGGCGGCGATAGCAGCAGCAGCAGCCAAGGCGGCGATAGCAGCAGCAGCAGCCAAGGCGGCGATAGCAGCAGCAGCATCCAAGGCGGCGATAGCAGCAGCAGCATCCAAGGCGGCGATAGCAGCAGCAGCATCCAAGGCGGCGATAGCAGCAGCAGCATCCAAGGCGGCGATAGCAGCAGCAGCATCCAAGGCGGCGATAGCAGCAGCAGCAGCATCCAAGGCGGCGATAGCAGCAGCAGCAGCAGCCAAGGCGGCGATAGCAGCAGCAGCAGCAGCCAAGGCGGCGATAGCAGCAGCAGCAGCAGCCAAGGCGGCGATAGCAGCAGCAGCAGCAGCCAAGGCAGCGATAGCAGCAGCAGCAGCAGCAGCATCAAGGAGAGCAGTAGCAGCAGCAGCGGGGGTGGGGGTGAGGGTGAGCCTGAAGGCGGCGATACCGAGGGTGAAGCCAGAAGCAGCGGCAGCAGAACTGACTGGTGGGCTGTGCTGGCCTCAGATTTCCCCAAGTCAGGTTCCTCCTCCTCCTCTTCTTCCTCTTCCTCGTCCTCCTCCCCTTCTTCCTCCTCTTCCCCTAAAACCGCCACCACCAAAGCAACCTCCTCTTCCTCCTCCTCACCTTCCTTGGGTTCTGCCTGCTCCGCATCCAGTCTGGCTGGTTACACCTACTCCACCCAGCTCGGAAGCTCAGAGTAAGCCCAGCCTCATGCTCCCCTCTGGTCCAAGTCTCCCATCACTCTGGTTCTGCCTATCCCACATCCAGCCTGGCCGGTTTTACCCGCCATTACCTTCTGTCCTCCCCTCTAACTCTCCTATCTCTCGCTCTTCCCTCCACTTTTTGTGTCTCCCGTTTGTTTTTTTCGTTCTTTTTCGCCAGTTTTCTCCTGCACTGGGCGGCGCCGTCCAACGGGCAGCTTGATTTGGCGATGGAGGCCAAATCGGGCAGCGGCGCGGCCAAGGGATGGATGTCCGTCGCATGGTCGGCGAACGGAGGCATGGCGGAAAGCACAGCGGTGATCGGTAACATGAACGGCGGAAGCGTTGCTGGTTACCACATCACCGGTTACTCGATGGGGACGGTGAAGGCGAATGGAATGGATGTTGGTGGGGATGCGGGGACGAGCAACGAAGGCGGGTCGACAGTTGTGAAATTTCTTAGAAGGGAGAGTGATGGAGGGGAGGTGAAGATCAAGACGAGTGGGGCAAACAAGCTGGTCTGGGCATATTCCACTGGGAGCAAGGCGCTGGGCTACCATGGCGGCAACTTGTAAGGCCCCTCCCTCTTCTCCCCCCCACCCAGTTCCTCTCTCTCCCCCTCTTTCACTTCCTCTCTCTCCCCTCTTTCACTTCCTCTCTCTCCCCCTCTTTCACTTCCTCTCTCTCCCTCTCTCGCCCTGTCCCGACCACTTTTCGCCCCCTCTCTCGATCACTGTTCCTATGCTTAGCAACTCCTCGAGTCTCTTCTAATCACCCCCCCCCCCCCCCACCCCCCCCTTTTTCCTCCCCCCCTTCCCTTTTCCTGCTCTTGCCTTCACCTGCACCCACCTTCCTGCCCAACTGCAGTGGAAGCCTCACTGTTGATTTCTCTTGTAAGTCTGCCCCTGCAGGGGGCTCTGGTGGGGGGGGAGGAGGAGGGGACGGAGGGGAGAGCAGCGGGAATGGAGGGAGCAGTGGGGATGGCAAGGGCAGTGCGGGTGGAGAGGGGGGAGGAGGAGGGGGGGGAGGGAAGCGAAGCGGGAAATCCAAGGGGAAGGGGCATGGGTCGGATGGGGGTAGGCATCATGGAAAGGGGAAGGACCATAAGGGGGAAAAGCATAAGAAAAAGGAGAAGCATCATGGTGGGGAGCATGAGGAGGGTGATGACTAAGCTGCTTTGCATGAATTGTGTTATTGCTATGGATAGGATGTGTTAATCGTACGTAGTGCACAAATGTATTGTATGTGGAAATGCAGAACGCCAATGATAGATTGTTTCGATTTTTGGTCGGTAGTTTGGCACGGCACATGAAATTGCATTTGAAGCACGTGGAGGGGGTGTTATCAACTCATGCAAAGCATTGTAGACATGGAGTTTTGGTGAAGCATATATAATTAATGCGTAAAGAATGTGAATGTGGGGGAACGTGTGACATGAGCATGTGTGAGTCAACGGGTCCACCTTCCGCATGTTGCTGAAGCGGCGTGTGGATATTGTGTGGGCGGAGCGTCCAATTTGGACGCATGCCATTGGACCGCGCGAGGATTCCATGTTCCATTCGTGGGCTTACCTGTTGGAGTGGATGGATGGTTTGGTTGATCGATGGACTCCGAAGTTTCGTCCAGCCTGCGTCGAGAATACCGAGATGGAAGTCTGCGTCTATGCCGGCTCGGTTGGAGTTGCGCTCTTCGTGACCGACCGGTGTTACACCTTCTTCAGTGTTATTTTTCTTTATACATTTTTTATTTTGGGTATGGTGCACGCAACCTTTCTGCCTAGGACTCGCAACCTCATAAGCAACGATAACCCCTTCCTTGGGATTCAGATTCAGCATGACAGTGTCGCAGTGCAGCTCCGAAACTTCCTTCCTTAGCTAAGTTTCAGCAGTCCCCAGTCTTACGCCACATGGGGTCTGGTGTGCCGCGAAACTCGTCATTTCCGCTGCCCGCCGCTTTTGAAGGGCCACCATCTCTGGCCTGCGAGAGGTTCGGTTTGGAGGACCTGATAATCAAGGCGCGAATCAGCCCTCTGTACGACACCACCTGACGCGTCGCTGAGTCCCTGCCTCTCATCGAGGGCCATCCGCTCTGCACCGCCAGCTTATGTTGGGACTTGGTTTGCGGCAGACAAACTCCCACGTCGTCAGTCGTTTAGCCGAACTGTCTATGTCGTCATCTCTGACGGACGGACGGATGCTCCACAACACCCTTTCTGAGAGATTTACGATGCTGTGCGACAGTCCATTTTGCTGCACAGTTGATGTCTCCTCCCTCCCCGCCACAAGAAACCGCAATTCCGGCGGAGCACGCGTCGCTGCGCGTCGCATCCACGCGCCCGATAACCTCAGCCGTTTATTGACCGTGCCAGCGTGCTGCCAACAATCCAAACCTTCTGCGACCTGGCATCGCCACAGATCTCATCACCGCTGGGCTGCGCAACGAAGAGGCAATCCAGCTTCCGCCGACACTGTGCCTCCGCCAGATATTTGCCCGTGTAGTTTCCGCGTGAAACTTCCGCTGGAAGCTGCCCCGTGGACCACGCGTGCAGTACCGCACTGCACCACCGCATTCAGTTCACCTGAGCGACACCCGGTTTTACCGCTACAGTACACCATTCCCTCCCCCCCCCCAACACTGCGCATCACCTGGGTGACGCGCTTCGCCTTGAGCGAAGCCTGCCCACCGCCAATGTCCAGACCAGAACCCTCTTGGGTTCTGAGGGAGTATATCTAAAAGAGGTCCTTGCGGAAAAATGACTTCCGATAGTTTTGGAAACCAATCACATTCGTTTTAATGTCAATCAGAAATACGTGATTGGTGTTCATAAGACATTGTTCCGCGATACCGCCTGCTAGGGATACGCCCCGATTTGAGTGTCCCGCGCACCCCCCCCCTCCTCGCCTGACGTTTCCGCTCGCCTCTTGTTGACATGACCACCAACGATTCCCCCAATCTCCCCCCTCCCCCCCACTCAACCCCCCCCCCCCCCCCGTAATAAACGCGCATGGCCCCGCTCTCCCTTGCCAACAACCATCCCGCCACTTCCCCTCCGCGCATCGATTCCCCCATCCATCGCCCGCTTCCTGACCACAGTTTTCGCGCGAAGCCAAGCCCAACGCTTCTCCCGTCATCTGAATTCCTCAACCCGTCTCCCTCCTTTTCACCCCTCCCTCCTGCGAACCGCCCTCACTCTCCCTCTCGATTCCCTACCCACTCCCCCTTCATTGCCCTCGACTGGCCCTCCCCTCCCCCCCTCCTGATCCTGTTTCCCACTGGCAGTAGATAAAGCGGGCCCGCGCCAGTTTTCTAACAGCCATTTCATCCAGGCAAGCAGGCAAGCAAGCGGCACGAGAGCTCAGCTCATACGAGAAGCGCAGCAGCAACTCCCGTTCCGTACCTCTGCCGTGCTTTCTCCTTCCACCCACCACCACCGCTCGAAACCACGCGATTCCTCCCGAATCCCTCGGCCTCTTCCCGACCTCGCCACTGCCATTACGAGAAGGCCATTTTTCTCAACTCGCCACCCACTATCACAATACTTTACCCTCAGTTCGTAATACGTCTTTAAATCGCCTCTACTGCATCGCTGCCGCCATACTTTACCCCAGTAAAATGGCGGGTTTCAGATATTGCGGGCGGTTCAAGTCGCTCGTGCCACTTGTCGCGCTCTGGTTGGTCCTATGCGCGCTGCCGTCGGCGCTCAGCGAGGACGACGAGGGCGGGAATGCCGTAACCGGCGCGTGCGAAGTGTCGTCGCTCCTTGGTTACAAATACGCCGTCGACCTCAGCGGCAACGGGTAAGCTCCATCTGAGGCGCCTAGAAACTGTTGAGAATGGCGCTTTGCAAGTTCTTAGTACTGTCGCCCATCCCCTACCTTTCCCCACTCCTCCCCCTCTTCCGCGACTTCCCCCCCCGAACCAGAAGTCTCGACCTCCATCCCCACCCCACCTCCCCCCCCCCCCCCACTCCCCCCTCCCCCCTCTCCCTCTTCCCCTCCCCTCTCCCGCCCCTCCTGCTTCCACGCGCACAGAAGCAGTCTCTACCTGCACTAGACTCCTAACGGCTCGCCCAAAATGGGTTTCGCGATCGCGGCCATCGTTTGCGACGCCTCACCACTTTCTCCCCCTCCCCTCCTCCCCCACCCCCCCTTCCCCTCTCCCCCCTTCCCCTCTCCCCCCTACCAATTCCTCCCTTCCCAACAGTCTCTACCTGCACTGGGTTCCTAACGGCTCGACCAAAATGGACTTCGCGATCGAGGCGCGGCCGGGCAGCGGCGCGGAAACCACGTGGGTGTCCGTGGGGTGGTCGGCGGGGCGCATGGTTCCCGCCGACGCGGTCATGGGGAACCTCCCCGGAAACAAGGTCGCCGCGTACTCGATACAAGGCTACGATGCGCAGTCGATCAAGGCGGCAACGGCGTTTTCCGTGGCGGGGACGGCTGTGAAGTATAGCAATGGCGGGAGTACGATCTCGAAGTTTACCCGGACGATCGGCGACGGGGATTTTCCCGTTGCGCCCGACGCGAACACGCTTATCTGGGCGTTTTCCGGCAGCGGCTCGCAGAGCCTGGACAATCACAACGGGAACGTGTAAGTAGCAGCGTACGCGTTGTACGCAGTGTTACGCAGTGGCATATGCTTCCTCCGGGTGTCCCTGCGGTTGCGTTTTATCAACGAGCGCGCATGGTGGTTTTTATTTTATTTTCTGTTTATTTTATAACTTGACTGCCCCTCTTCCTGTTTCTCCCTTCCCCCCCGCCCCCCCCCCGCCCACTTTTCCCCCTTCCTCAGCGGCATTGTCAACATTGACTTCACGTGCGCGAGTGGCGCAGCGCCCGCGACTGCTGCACCCAGCGGCAGCGGTCCCAGCAGCGGCGGCGCAAGCGGCAGCGCTTCGTGTCCCGCGTCTTCCCTCGCGGGCTTCGACTACCAGGCGGAACTCACCACCGGGTATGTCCCCCGCCGTCCTTTGGGTTGTAACCGATGAGGTTGCAGCGGGGATCTAGCCAGATGACCCTCGCGCGATTCAACAACTAGGCGGAGCGAATCTCACCACAACTTCTTCTCCCTCTCCCTGCGCTCTGTTAGTTTCCTTTGTTTTCTGTTAAGAGTTCCGTTACAACTACCTTGCTCACCTACCTTCCGACGCGCTCGTCGCGAACCGACGGTCTCAAATCAAATAACGTCCCCTTGTTCCTTCCCCCGCCATCCCCCGCCATCCCCCCAATCCACCGCTCTTCCCACTTTTCCCCCCGCTCCCCAACCCCCCCTCCCACCCCCACTCTCCCCCCACTTTCCCCCCCCCCCTCCCACCCCCCCGTTCCCCCCTTCCCTTCCAGTCATCTCCTTCACTGGAAGCAGGCCTCAGCCACTTCCCTCGAAGCCAACAAACCCCTTCATCTCTTTTTCCCCCTCCACCCGTTCTCCCACCCGCCAACAGGCTGCTTCTTCACTGGAAGCAAGCCTCACCCACTTCCCTCGATATGGCGCTCGAAGCCACCGCATCCAGCGGCGCCGCAGGCTCGTGGTTCTCCGTCGCGTGGTCGGGCGACGGCCGCATGTCCCCGTCTGACGCGGTCATCGGGAATATGCCGGGCGGCGCGGCTGGCGCGTACGCGATAACGGGCTACGACATCGGTGCCGTCGCGCCTACCAGCTCGTTTTCCGTAGGCGCTGCGACGACGGAGGCCGCGGCAAATGGCGGGAGTACGGTGGTGAAATTTACGAGGACGGAGGGCGAAGGGACGATCCCGATGTCGCTGTCGGCGCCGAATGCGCTGATCTGGGCGTATTCAGGGAGCGGGTCGCAGAAGTTGGATTACCATGGAAAGCACGTGTAAGTTGGGATTGCGGCACTGTACGCATTTTTTTAAGGTTTCGGAGTGCGGTGTATTATAGTGTACAGCACTGTAGGCTTGTGCAAATAAATGCGAAGGGGGAGCGGAAGTTGGATTCCCCCGATGTCGCAGTTGGCGCCGAGTGCGCTGGGCGTATTTGCAGAGCGGGTCGTGGAAATCGGGTTACCACGGGAGGATTTTGTGAATGGGTTTGGTTGGTTGTACGCGTTGTAAGGTATTTGACTGAGGTGTACGCATATGCTCTTTTCACGTTCAGGCGTCATTATATGTCGCTCCTCGTGCCCCTCACACTCATTCCTTCCTCCTCCCTGACCGCAATTTTTTTCTCACCAATTCTTTCCCCCCTTTTTCCCTTCGTTTTCCCTTCCCCCCCCTATAACAGTGGCTCAAAAACAGTGAGCTTCAACTGTGGTGGCAGCAGTACCAGCACCACTCCCGCCACTCCCGCCACTCCCGCCACTCCCGCCACTCCCTCCCCAGTCCCTGTGCCTGCTCCTCCTGCCGTCACCCCCGCACCGCCCTCCACCTCTTCCTCTCCTGGCGCTGGCTCCAGTGGCAGCAACGGCAGTAACAGCGGTTGCACGGCTTCGACTCTGGCTGGTTACTCCTGCTCTGAGAAGCTTAGTGGCAACGAGTAAGCAGTGTCTCCCCTCAACCCACTCCCCCTTCCCCAAACCCTCTCGTTTTACTCACTCCCCCGCTCACCTGGCTCACTCAATCACTCACTCATTCTCCCACTCTCCCACTCAATCCCTCCCTTCCCCCCCCACCCTCTCTTGTCCCATTCCCCCCCCCACCCTTCTTTCCCTCCTAGCTTTTTACCCACTTCCCCATTCTCACACTCTCGCACTCAATCCCTCCCATCCCCCCCCCACTCTTCTTTCCCTCCCAGATTCGCCCTCCAGTGGAATACAGGCGTTGACTCCATTGACTTGGTCTGTGAGGTGGAAACCACCGGGTGGGTGTCCTGCTTCCTCTTGCCTTACCCTCTTCCTCCATTTCCTCCATTCTCCCCACCCCCCCCTCTCCCCCCCAGCTTCGTCCTTCACTGGAAGACTGGCGTTGACTCCATTGACTTGGCCTGTGAGGTGGCAACCGCCGGGTGGGTCTCCCTCGGGTGGAGCGCCGACGGCATGATGTACCCCGCTGACGCCATCATCGGCAACCTCCCCTCCAGCACTGCGCGTGCTGCGGCCGGCACTGCGGGTGGTGCAACGGTCAGCAGCTACAGTATCACCAGCTACAGTGACGTCACTCCCGCCTCCTCCCTGGCAGTGTCTGCTACAGCCGTGGAGACCTCGTCCAATGGGAAGACGGTGATTAAGTTCTCAAGGAGCCTTGCTGACGGGGATTTCCCGATCGATACGAGCGGCAAGACGACTCTTATCTGGGCGTTTTCTGCTGATGGGTCCAAGACATTGGCCAATCATGGAGGCAACCGGTACGTTTTTTAGTCGGCTCAAAGGAATACGTTTCCGTTATTTCTCTTCTTGTTTGCCTTCTTTTGAGGCTAGTCAGAAGCAGGTGAGGCTAGATACCTGGCTAATCACGTGCTTAGCCAACTGGTAGGAACTTCCTCCGTCTTCCGTCTTCACCTTTCTCTTCCTCCTCTCCTGGTAATCACGTGTCTTAGTTCTATCTGCCCCTAACTTCGCTCCCCTTCCTCTCACCCTTAGTTCCCTTCTCTCCATTTCTCACCCTCTCCCCTTCCCCCACCAACAGTGGCTCTGCTGCTGTTAGCTTCGCTGCCGACGCTGCTGCCTCGTCTCCTCCATCAGGCTCGGATTCTGGCTCGGGAACAGGCTCGGGATCCGGTTCGACAGCCTCTCCTATCCCGCCTACGCAATCGCCTTCCGTCCCCACGCCTGCACCTTCGCCGCCTCCTGCTGGTCCGGCTGCCGGAAGTGGCAACAGCAGCAGCAGCAACAGCACCAGCAGCAGCAGCAACAGCACCAGCAGCAGCTGCACGCCGTCAACTATCTCTGGTTACACCTGCTCTGCTAAGCTCGATGGAGACAAGTATGTAATCTACACCCAAATACCCATTTTACTACGTCCTCGTTCTAAATTAGTAGACAATCATTGTATACCGCAGTTTTTTTTCTTACCACCATTCGTTTTTTACTGTACTATCCTCATCTCTGTTTTTCGTTCGTATGTTCCACCATTTCCAGTTTCATCCTCCACTGGAAAACCACTGGCTCGGACATAGCCATGGCGTGTGAGGTGGCAACCACCGGGTGGGTCTCCCTCGGGTGGAGCTCTGGGGGAACCATGTACCCTGCTGATGCAGCCATCGGGAACCTACCCTCCAGCACCAAGCGCGCTGCGGACGGCACTGCGGGCGGCGCAGCGGTTGGCAGCTACAGTATCGCGGGGTACAGCGAGTCCGACATCACCCCCGCCTCCTCCCTGACGCTCTCCGCTACAGCCGTGGAGTCCTCGGCCAATGGGAAGACGGTGATTAAGTTCACCCGGCCAATGGCTAAGGGCGCATTCCCGATGAGTGCGAACGGTCCGACAACAGTCATCTGGGCCTACTCTGCGGACGGCACTCAAGCTCTGGCCAATCACGGACCGAACAATCGGTAAGCTCTTAATACTAACATTCTTCCTGACTAGCATAGTCGAGGCTCATGGCCAAGGGGCCGTTTTCGATGAGTGCGAGTGGACCCACGACGGGCATCTGGGCCCAGATGGTACTCTGCGGAGGGCACTCGGGCGCTTGCGAATCATGGCCCCAACCGGTGAATTAGATTGATTGGTTGTTTGCTTGATTGACTGATCTTGATCCAGGCAAGCCAAGCTCATCATAGCATAGACACTGCCATTGCAGTGTAATAGGATTTTGCAGGGTGTTTTTGAGAATTCTCAAAAACACCAAGCCAAGCTCATCATATATCTGGCTAGCCGATAGCATTGACTGCCATTGCGGTGTGATAGGAGTCTAGTCCTGAGGCGCCCACCAACCAGTGAGTTGCAGACAATGATCACGTGAGATCTGGCTGGCATAGATTCTGCCGTGGCAGTGTGGTGGTGATCCGGGCACTGATGCATCACAATGCGAGGTTGATCATCAGCATCACGTGATAGGAGTCTAGTTTTGAGGCGCCTCAAAACAAAGCTCACATCTTTGATCCCCATACTCCGGTGGTGACAGGCAGTGTGGGGCTATAAGGCACGAACCTTTGTGCTCACTGTTTTCCGTTTCCACCCTCTTTGCTTGCCTGCAGTGGTTCCGCCACCATTGATTTTGTCTCGGGTTCAACTTCAGGTTCGACTTCAGGTTCGACTTCAGGTTCGACTTCAGGTTCGACTTCAGGTTCGACTTCAGGTTCGACTTCAGGTTCGACGTCGAGTTCAACTTCGAGTTCGACAACGGATACTTCCAAGGCGAGCAACAGCACCAGCAGCAGTGACAGCAGCAGCGGTAGCAGCAGCTGCACCCCGTCGACCATTCCTGGATACACGTGCTCTGCCCAGCTCAGCGGTGACAAATACATCCTCCACTGGAAGGCCAACACGTCAGCAATCAACTTCGCCGCTGAGGTGGCGACGTCCGGTTGGGTGTCCCTCGGGTGGAACAGCAACGGCAAGATGGAGCCGGCCGACGCAGCCATTGGCAACCTGCCAGCTGGCGGCAACGCCAACGGCGCGGCCGTCGGTCCCTACAGCATCACGGGGTACGGCGCGTCGGACATCGGTGCCACATCAGCGTTCGCCCTGTCAGCAACTGCGGTGGAGACGGGAGCCAATGGGAAGACAGTGGTGAAATTCTCCCGACCGCTGGCAGGAGGGTCGTTCCCGATCAATGCGAACGGGCCGACCACAGTCATCTGGGCTTACTCGGCTGGCGGCTCGCAAACCCTTGCCAACCACGGGCCTAACTGGTAAGTCCCCTAGCTCCTGATTCCACTAGCATTGGTAAGGGGGTCGTTCCCGATCAATGCAAACGGGCCAACCACAGTCATCTGGGCTTACTCAGCTGACGGCTCTCAGACTCTGACAAACCACTGGCCTAACTGACAGTGATTTTAGCCTCTTTCTATTCCCATTGCCCTTGCTAGTTCCGTCTGTCTTTCTTCACGATCTTTACGATCGGTTGCTTGGGTCGTATAATAAACCCATTCCACCCTCTCCTCCCTATCCATCTGCAGTGGGTCGGCCTCTATCGACTTCATCTCGGGCTCCACCGTTTCCTCCTCCTCTTCCTCCAAGTCAACCGCCTTCATCATTCACGGCTGGCTGCTCGGCATCTCCTTCGGCATCCTCATGCCGGCCGCTATCCTCATCTCGCGTCTCTTCCTCGCCGACAAGCTCCAAGAGAAACCGCCCGGCGTGGACTACGTCCAATGGGAGGCCCAGGTTGCCCGCGCAAAATCCTGGAAGCCAATGGCGTTCGAGACACACAAGTGGATGCAGATTATCGCTGTTGTACTCGCTGTTGTCGGGTGCATCATCGGGTTCGTCGCATCCGGATCGGTGGGACTCCAAGGCACGCACGGGCAGCTCGGAGTCGCAATCTTTGTGCTGATTTTCATCCAACCCGTGATTGGCCACTTCCGGCCGAACAAGGGGACCGTGAACCGTCCGACGTGGTTCATCATCCACTGGGTCTTCGGCATGCTTATAGTCGGGCTCGCTTGGGTGAACACGTTCCTTGGTTTCGATGCGATGGCGGTTAAATTTGCGTCCGACATGCAGGTGTACATCATCATTTTCGCGATTGCGATCGGGCTGTTTGCGGCGATATACGTGGTGGTGTTCGTGGTGGACCAGGTCGCATTCATTCTGGCGAAGTTGAGACCTGTGGACCATGGGAAGATGTCGGATGAGGTGTAAATAGGCCCTAGGGGATGCGGTTGTGGATAGGGTGTTTGTGTTGCTGCTTGACTGTGCTTGTGCTTGTGCTCATGACTGAAAAAAAAAGCCTTGTATCTAAGCCTAAGTGTTTGAGCTTGAGAGCAACTTTACAAGAGTAGTCTGTGTTAGAATACGTGAATGAATTACTAGAAGGAGAAACCTAGAACATATACCTGTTGGGTTGTACTCACTAGAAGCACACACCTAGTCTAGCCTAGAATTTCTACAAAGAACATATGTATAAGTTGACACACCCCCTAGGCTAGATAAGGGGTGGCGGCAAGCAAGAAACACACAGCTCAGGGTGGCACTATTAGTCCAACCACTGAGGCAGGGGTCCGGAGACCAGTCAGCAAGAGTACAAACAAGACTAAAGCAAGCCAGGGCGGCACTACTAGTCCAGCCACTGGAGGTAAGGCCACAAGGCCAGTCAGACACGTATATATAGAAGAGAGTACACAATCATGGCCCTAGCAAATGAGAAGCTACAGGAACAAGACCAAGCTGTACACAGTGCCGCTGATGATCTTGTTGGGCTGAGAAAAGCCCTTAGGATCTTTTGCAGAGACTAAGTCCCAGCTGTAGAGACTTGAGACTTGGAGTAGTGCAGCGGAAGTTGAGGCAGTTGAACCCTTGTACTAGTATGTGAGAACAAGTGATTGATTAAAGAAACAAGCATACAGCAATATATAGTAGATAAGAAAGCAGTTGTAGAATACAGTTACAGGAACGGTTTATCGAGTCGCACAGCGACTCGATTGCCGCTTCGGTTACCATCCGTGATGTTGTAACGGTCAGTCGCAACCTCCAGTTGCGACCTTTCGAGTCCTTTCGCATTCTTTGTCCGCCCCCTCGTGTAACCTCCGTTGACTCGCGTGCTCCCCTGTAATCTTCCTCGAGTACAGTGTTACACTTCAGAAACGCTTAAGTCCTTGAGATATTTCCAACACTCCCCTTCGTTTCTGGAGTGCTGGAGTGTTCAGATCCGGTGGCGTTTGTTTGCCCGGTTAGGAGCATGCAGTAGTCGAATTTTGCTTTCGCCAATTTCTTCGTCAGATAATCTGCGGCCATTTCTGTCGTCGGGCAGTAACTGAGTTGAAGTCTCCCCTTCGCGATTTCATCCTTGACGAAGAAGTACCGCAGGGCGATGTGCTTGGTTCGATTGGCGAAGCCGTCCTTGTTCGCGATTTTGATCGCAGATTGGTTGTCGCAGAGGAGTGAGAAGGCGGGCAGGGTCGCGATCTTCGCTTCTTCGAGTAACTCTCGTAGGTAGAGTCCTTCCTTGGTCGCAGTACAAAGGGCGATATACTCTGCTTCAGCCGAGGATAGTGCGATTAACTCCTGCTTGCTCGACTGCCAGGAGATAGTTCCGATAGGTTCTAGTCGGTAGATGTAGCCCGTCCTAGACCGTCGATTTTCGCTGTCTCCCGCGTGGTCGGCGTCGACGTATCCGAGTAGTCGTACGGACGGTGTTGTTGCCTTGCTGTAGGTAAGCCCGATCGTCGGCGTGGAGACGAAGTAGAGTAGCGCTCGATTGAGTTCTTCGAGATCTTCCTGTTGCGGATGCTTCAGATGTGTCGCCAGCTGACTCGCACTATAGGATAGGTCGGGTCGGCAGGTTACTGCTGCGAATAGTAGGCAGCCGAGCTTCTGTTGATACTCCTGGATTTGTTTCGCGGGGAGTTTTGTAGAGGCGCTGCCGTTGTTCCCGTAGCGGTAGGGAGTTGGGACCGCAGTCGGTGTTAGAGCGAATTTCTTCGCGACGGTGCTTGAGTACTTTCCAGCGTGTAGGTAGAACGCCGTGTCGTCTTCGACGACGTTCAGTCCTAGGTACTGCGTAACTTCGTCGGACACCGTGAGAGTTAAATCTTCTTTCAGCTCCCCTTCGAACCAGGTGGCGATGTCGGTAGTTGAGCCGATGTAGAGCAGGTCGTCGACGTAGACGATGAGCAGAACATACTCTCTTCCCTTCTGCAGTCGGTACATCCCTTGGTCATGCGGCAGCTGTAGGAAGCCGATTTTTACGAGACGGCTGTGAAGATGCTGCTGCCAGAGCCGCGGGGCTTGCTTGATCCCGTATAGGGATTTTGTCAGTCGGCATATTTTCGTGGGGTCGTCGATGAATCCGTGGGGTTGTTCGACGAAGATCTCAGCGTCCACAGGTGCGTATAGGAACGCATTCGCGACATCGATTTGGCGTAGTGGTAGTGTTTTTGTGGCCGCGACGGCGAGTAGGATGCGTAATGAGGTGTGACGGGAGACTGGGGCGAAGGTTTCTGTGTAGTCGGTTCCGTATCGTTGATCGAAGCCTCGTACGACCCATCGAGCTTTGAATCGTTCGATGGAGCCGTCTGAGTTGGTCTTGATGCGGTACACCCATTTCCCCGAGAGAACGTTCTTCCCGTTGATGCTCGTTGCAGGTACCAGTTTCCATGTTTCTCGGTCTTGCAGAGCTTTTAACTCCTTTTCCATCGCTTCTTTCCATTTTGCCTTATGTTCCCCCCCCAGAGCCTGCGACAAGGTTGAAGGCTCACGCGTAGAAGGCGGCGGCGGATGCTGGACGGAGACCCAGAGGCCTAGAATCTGGAGTCCCGTGGGTGTGTGTCGAGGGGAATTGTCATTCCCCGAATAAGCTGCTTCGTCACCGTCTTCGGGGTCAAGTAAGAAATTGGGGCCGATGCGTTCCGAAATATTCGTGTCGACGGGGTGCGGTGTAGCGTAACCTTGGTCGGCGAAGTGGTAAAAGGTGTCGAGGTTGTTGCTATCGAGGGGATTATCTTCATCGAGTGGAACAGGTATGGAACAGAATGGGAGTGGCCCGGCAGCTTCCGAGGCTCCAGGTACGTCTTCTTCTGCTGCGTCAGCCTCGGCAGCATGGTCAGCGAAGGAGCGAAGGCCCGCGAAGCCGTCGGTGGGGTCGTCTGAGTTGGCAATGTTGTCCAGGTAATGCTGCAGCGTCAGTCGCTCGTAGAAGATAACATCACGTGATGCCACCGTATTTTTGTCTTGTATGTCGAGGATCTTCCACGCGTGAAAATGTTTGGCGATGCCGAGGTGTAGTCCCCACCGAGCTCGTTGAGTGAAGCGTCCTGCTCGAGCTGTGTGGGGTCTGTATTGTACCATGCAGCCGAAAACTCGAAGTAATTTTGTGCTGCCCCTTTTTCCCGTCCACAGCAGGTGTGGTGATGCGTTGTTGGGGAGCGATGACGAGGACAACAGGTTGTGCAGGTGGACTGCATGTGTCATCGCGTCTGGCCACAGTGCGTTGGGCAGCCTCATCCCCAGAAGCAGTTTTCGCATCGTCGTCTGCAAGGTCCGGTTCATGCGTTCTGCTACCCCCTGCTGCTGGTGAGCATAGGGCAGAGACACCAGGCGTCGGATTCCCCTTTCCGCGAGATAGGTCCTGAAGCGTTGTGACTGGTATTCCAGTGCACCGTCTGACTGGAAACTCTTGAGTTTGGTTCCTGACTCTCGTTCGGCGATTGGAAGCCATGTGGTGAATGCCTCGAAGGCTTGATCGCGCGTTTTGAGATTGAAGTGCCAGACGTATCTGGTTGCGGCGTCGATGAACGTGATGACGTAGTTGAAGTCGGCTTCGGTGTCGTCTCGAGGCATGTTTAGAATATCGCTGTAGACCTTTTCCATCGGAGCGTAAGTGGGTGCGCTTGGATTGTGATGGGCTGGGAAAGGTTGATGAGGAAGATCTGCTTCGGGGCATGTGAAACACCGTGCGCGTGGTCGTCGGAGTTCCTGGCCGCTCGTCGTCAGAAGGGCGTTGCGTTCTAACACTTCTGCTTGGATTGTTTGAAGTATCGTGCTGTTTGCAGGATGTCCGAGACGTTGGTGCCAGATGTCGTCGGGAGCGCGGTGACCGGGCGAGCGGTGGTAGATGTCGGCGTTGGAGAAGAACGCGACGACCGAGGCGGGACTTCGACAAGCTTCTCGTGTGGCAGGCATAAGTTGGTCTGCTTCGGTTGGCTGTCCTCGTGTCGCTGGTGGTGGTACTCGGCTGGGTCCTGCTGCCGATACTGCAGGTGATGGTTTTGTTGGGACACATGCGGGTACTTGTCTTTCTTGTCTGATAACTGCTAATGCTCGTGTTCTTTCTGCTGCAGGTATGGTGTTGGAGTGCCAGAAGCCGTCGCTGTCGAAGTCGGGATCAAGATCTGGCGGATGAGTCCAGGCGGCGAAGGATACGATACCGTCGCTGTCGGCAGTTCCGCGGTCGGGGACGAAGTCCAACACGAAGACACCGGACTTCAGGAGGGCACGACCGATGAAGAGACCGCCCTTCCCGTGGTAAAGTCGGAACTCGTTGGAGAAGGAGTCGCACTCCAGGTGAATCCCCTTAGCCATTAGTTGGCTTACGCTTAATAGGTTGTATCCCAGATTGTCGACGATGAGGACCTTGTTGAGCTGAAGAATAACGTTTGTCTCCATTGATTGTAACTGAACCACGCCTTGTCTATTTGTTTTCAGGTTTTCGTTGTTGGCGACGGTGATGACGACGTCACGGTTGAGGCGTCGCTCGTGTTGTACGAAGCGTCCGGAGGAGCACATGTGCTGACCGCAGCAACTGTCCAAGAACCAGGTGTTCCGCCCGGTGGGTTCGGCGTTAGCGACTGCAGCGTATGTCGGGTTGACCTGAAGTCCTTGCGAGCGCGGCGACGGGAATTCCTCTTCGTCTGGTGCGTAAGTGGGTGGTGAAGCGGGTGCGCAGTTGTCGATGTGTACCATGCAGTTGATGATGTTGGGTGTTTGTTGTGCAGATGTTGAAGAGCGCCTTGGAGGACTTGCTTGAGTGGAAGCGACTTGTGGGTCTGCTGCACGGTAAACGCGAGGGCGGTTGCAGTTGACCTTGGAGTGCCCGGAAGTCTGACAGTTGTGGCAGAACGGCGGCACGATGGTGAGTCCTCGGTTGTCGCGTTGATCTTGCTTGCTGCGTCGGTTGTAGTTGTTGTCATTTCTTCTTTGAGTGTAGAAGACTAACTGCTGTTGCTTCCTTGGTTGTCTTTCCTCGAACAGATCCATCTCCTGTTGTTCAGCGTGAAGCTCGGCGCAGAGGTGCATCTCCGAAATTCTTCCGTGGGCTCG